GTTTTCGGCTAAAAAATGCATTAAAGGTCCGTTTATATGATTATCCAGCTTTCTGTTCGCTGTTTCTGCTGACTGATGACTAGTGAAAACGCAGATGTCGTCGGCGTACAACGCCGTTTGTACCCCATTATGTTCCATTGGTATATCACAGGTCATAATGGTGTACGAATGCGGCAATAGCACTGAGCCCTGTGGTACTCCCGCCATTGCTAGGAAAGGTCCTGTTATTGTGGAGTTTATTGTAACGTTGAATTTTCTGTCCGTAAGATATGATAAAATTATTTTAACAATGTGCCCAGGAAAGTCATTCAGAAGCATTTTGTAGATTAAACCGCGGGTCCAGACGGTATCAAAGGCTTTCTCGCTGTCAAGCGCCACAAGCACCGTTTGCAGCTCCTGATTTAACGCCTCTTTGGCGTGACGTACGATCCTCAGAACCTGAACGACGGTACTGTGCCCCTCTCTGAAGCCGTACTGTTCCCGCGGAATTATCTGCATTCGTTGTTCTGTTGATTTAAATCGTCGTAGTATTATTGTGTCCGTTATTTTTGCTATTGTGTTGAGTAGTGATATGGGGCGGTAACTGTCTATATTATTTCCCGGTTTTCCCGGTTTAAGAATTGGTATTATGTTTGCCACTTTCAGACTACTGGGATAGTGTTGTAGTCTGAAAATGGCATTTATTATATGGTAGATCCGCACGACAGCTTTTTTACTGAGGTTTTTTTGTAATATATTGCTAATGTCGTCCGTTCCCGGAGCTTTTCTATTTTTGAGACCCTTAATTACCTCGCACACCTCTCTGGGAGTGGTTAGAAAAGAGTGGGGCACTAAAAGTGGTTCTAGCTGTTCAAAAGCATCGACGATATTTTCGATGCGCTGCTGTTGTGGGTCATTGACCTCGTTGTTTACAAATTGTGCTTGAAAGAGTTCGCCTAGGGCTTGACCTTTGTCTTCGTCTGTCGCTAGTAGTTCCTGTACTCGTTTCAGTGTGGGGAACAGCGAATAGGGTTTTTTGTACCTCTTCACTACTCTCCACAGTGAATTGTCTTCTGGCTTTAACTCTGATAGGGTTGTTTGCCATTTGTTATTCTTGTGTTGTCTTATCATTGTGTTTATATTTGTTGCTAAGTTTAACATCATCATCGTTTTATCGGTGTAACTGCCACCTTTTCCTAAGTCGGTTTTTGTTGTTTATTAAATGTGTTATTTCGGGTGGCAGTGTGTCGTAGTGTGGTGAATGTGTTTTACGTGTTGTTGTTTCGTCTCTAGCTTTTTGTATGTTTTGTATTATTGTTTTCGTTTCATTTTCTAGGGTTTTTATATTTGTGATGTTGTTATTGATTGTTATGAAGTTGTCTAATTTGTTTCTGTATAATGTCCAGTTCAGTTTGTAGATTTGTAATCGTAAAATTGTGTTTTTTGTCTTTATACTTTGTTTGTTGTCCATAGTTCCAAGTACACTGGATCGTGGTCTGAGTTGAGTGTTGTTATAGTTCTCATGTTTCGTATATCGGGTATATTCTTAGCTACAGCGATATTCAGTGTACTGGGACTGTAAGTCGGGTTTGTCGGAAAGTATGTCGGTTCTTCAGTGTAGTGTATTATTAGGTCGTTTTCCTCTGCGAAGTCTCTCAATACTCTCCCACTTGCATTGTAGTTCGCACAATGAGAGTCCCACTCTTCGTGCTTGGCATTAAGGTCCCCTGCTAGAAAACCCCTGTTTCCTTTTGACAGCCTGTGCAGATCTCTACCTAATAGTGTAATCTGAGGTGGGTTATAGGCTACTTTTAAAATAATTTTGTTTACCTCTATAATTACATGTTCGAAATTTTCTGTAATGTTTAGTTTTGGAATTTATTTGAATGTCAATTCTTTTTTAATAATACCCCCCAGAAGCGTTTCTGAATTGTCTAATGTCCCTGTAAATGTGAATGGGCAAAACATCTTTATATTGACATAATTGTAACTTACAATTTAGCCATAATAAAGGGATTTCGTCCACTTTGACTAATCCTAATTGAAACACGCGGATTTATTATATTTTTTTAAATATAATTTCAAAATAAAATAAACAAAATCTGCAGTTCATTATTTATTAAGTTTATTTAAAATAAGAAAAACAAATATTTCACAAAATACAATACCTACATATGAAAAATAAAATGTCAAAAATGATTAAACCATTATACTTAATATTTATGCATGTGATAATATTCTTATTTTCCTAATAACTTTTTTGGCACACTTTATATCTGTATTAGAATACCTAAGTGTGTAAAAACCTTCATCTTATTACTACACAAAACAAACGCCAAAAAATATCACTTAACATTGCTCACGCACTAAACACAACTTGGATTGACTTTGACAGATAACATAATTTTGAGTGATACACAACTTATTTTCGCACATGCGCGTTACAAAACGGTACAGTGAAAACACCAAGTTGTCGCTTCTCCTTGATCGGTATTCTCGGATTAAACCCCTTAAGACCAAACATATGTGACGTAATAATATTTCTGGTATATTTCAGATATGAGATTTTTTGGTGGAAGAGCATTCTGAAATCCACCAATTTGTATATAAATATTGGTGGAGGATGAACGAAAAGTCATTAGAAGATAGGCAGTGGTGAATATAAATAGTGAACGATTCAAAGACATTCGAAATACAGGGTGTCGGTAAAAGGTCTTTAGAAAAACATACCACATAATCCTTAGACCAAAATAAGTCGATTTAATTAAAATTACCTCTGTACAAAGTTGCTTCGTTTGTCCGATAATAATACATAGGCGTAGAACTTGATTTTTTAAATAATTGCACCTTTAAAAATTCTACGCCAATAAAAGAAAAGGAGTTTGAGTATGAAATTTAGATTGCGCAACTTATTTACTTTAAAAAAGGTCTCTAGATAAGACTCGATTACTCTTATGGTTTTCGCTAAATTTCTGTTTTAATAATTTAGAGTGTATAGGTTTCACAAAAATATTTATTTACAACATATTCAAAATAGAGATTTTACAAAAATTGTTCAAAATGTTCACCATTTTCACGCATACAAAGATTTATACGTCAAAGAAAATTAAAATGTATCCTTTCCATAACTTCTTCATCACCTCTAAGATTGTTAATTGCATCTTGAATAAGTTGCCAGAGTTGTTCCTCATTTTCTACAGGTTCCCTGTAAACTGTGCATTTCAGATGTCCCCATAAAAAGTAATCCATCGGTGTTAGATCTAGGGAACGTGGTGGCCAGTTTACAGGTGCGTCATTACCTCTGCCTATCCATTTGTGTGGATATTGTTCATTCTAGTGGTTTCTAACGTTTAAAGAAAAATGTGGTGAAGCTCCATCTTGCATAAACCACATATCTCTCCGAAGTTGGAGAGGTAAATCTTCTAACAATTCTGGCAACGTATTTTGTAGAAAATCCAAATAATTTTCTCCAGTTAATCTTCGTGGAAGTATGACAGGACCAACAATGAAATTACCAATTATCCCAGCCCACACATTAATTTTGAATTCGTGCTGAAAATGGTTTACCTTTATTGCATGCGGATTTTCAACGGCATAAACATGTTCATTATGGGTATTAGTTATACCTCTTCTTGTAAAACCCGCTTCATCGGTAAAGAGAACCTTCTTGACAAAGTTTGGATCTCTTTCTCTTTGCATATTAACAAATCGACAAAAACCCAAACGAATTTAAGGATCATGGACTAATAATTCTTGTACTGGCTTCTTATGGTATGGATATAGCAATTGTTCTCTAAGCACTTTATGAACGACATCTTTACTTACTCCTAGTTTCCTTCCAATTCGTCTGGTGTTTAATTTTGGATCCTCTTCAACACGTTCTAAAATGTCTTCTTCAACTTCAGGAATCCTTACAATACGTTCTCTTTCATTATCAACAGTGTTAGGAGCAAAGGAACCGGTCTCCCGAAGACGTCTCTCAACAGCAGCAAAAGTTGGGTGGCTAGGTACACGAAGATTTGGAAACCTTTCAGAGTACACACTGACACTCTTTCGAGCATTTCCTTCACAAAATTCTAATGTCAGTAACATATCGGTATATTCTGCATTGGTATATTGTACAGCCATATTAATAAACCACGCATTTGTTTTTTTAATTATTGAGTCAGATAGAACACTTTCAATCGTTAACAAGAGATTAGGTGTTAAAACTTGACAATATTTTTATTTAGATGAAACTATGGAAACCAACAAGAAATGTTTTTGTATACGTATTGCAGGCAAATAATTAATATTCCTCAAAAAATCGTACATGGCAAGAATCGAGTATTTTTGTTAAAAGTCTCGATTAGAGGTGTTGAAAAAGATATGAAAAAGTACGTTTTTATGTTTTTCATCGTATAAAATTTTGTCCGATAATACATAGGCGTAGAACTTGAATTTTAAATAATTGCACCTTTAAAAATTCTACGCCAATGGCAAAAAAGGAGTTTGAGTATGAAATTTGGATTGGGTACTCATTTACTACAAAAAAAGTACTCTTGATAACACTCGATTTACTCTCATGGTTTTGACAAAGTTTGTATTTTAATAATTATTGTTTATGTTCTAAAATTACTAAAATGCAAATTTCGACAAAACCATGAGAGTAATCGAGTCTTATCAAGAGTACCTTTTTTAAAGTAAATGAGTTGCGCAATCTAAATTTCATACTCAAACTCCTTTTATTCCATTGGCGTAGAATTTTTAAAGGTGCAATTATTTAAAAAATCAAGTTATACGTTTATGTATTATTCTCGGACAAAATTTTAATACCATTTTTTTGCCACATAAAGCTCTACCAATATACCAAATTTCAGCAAAAACGCATATGCCATTTTAAATTTATATGGGAAAAACGATTTAAAAATTGTAACTTCAAGGCCCTCTGGAGCCCACACGAAGCAACTTTGTACTAAGGTAATTTTACTTAAATCGACTTATTTTGGTCTAAGGAATATGTGGTATGTTTTTATAAAGACCTTTTACAGACCCTGTATATAGGTATAAATTATAATAAGTGTTATAAAATAAGTGTTTAAATAAATTAATAATATATAAACAAACATCACATTATGCCTATCAGATGTATTTAAATTTCCATTTTGACTATATATATATATATATAAACATTGAAAGATGAGTATATAAAATGTCTACCTCTTGAATCTGTATTACGTTCTGCAAATTAAATTACTACACCCCTTTCTTCTCTAGACTATAGTTGCAGGTATTAATATGAAAGTCCCGTCATTGTACTAAACACAAAATAAAACACGTAGTTAATATTAGTTATTTTGTTAAATATTATGTATTTATCGATATGGCCCTTGCATTAATACTAGTAAAATAACTACCATTGTAATAATATAAACATATATCATAATAGCAGCAAAAACTGGTTCATCAGTTTTCATAGCATGACATCCTCCTGTTCCCAAAATTAGTTGAAGCAGTTCCAGAGTGAAGAACATTTGTATAGGTAGAAATTTGCACGTAAATATATAGAATATAAAAATATTACCGGAGGAAAAATAATGAATTACTGCGAATATGCCGAATACGGAAAGAAAAACAGTTAATAGTATGCTAATTCTATGCTGTAATCGGTATGACAAAGGAGAACATTGACATTTTATACATGATATGATACCGAGTAAAAGAAATATCACTACAGTTCCAGCAAAACTTAATAATAATAATTTGGGAGTGTTTAAATAAATATTGAAATATGCCAAAGGATATGCTGAGCAAAGCGTAAATATGATCAATATAATGTAATTATATGGAATTTTTTTTCTAGCACTTTCCCAGAAATTCATCATTAGAAACAGTACAAAGTCTAGGGCCCATATAGAAAAAAACAATGTATGATTGTCTTTTATTAAATTTTGTAATGGTATGATCCAAACGCTTGCAGAAACAAATGATATTAATAAAATTAGCTGGAATATAAGAATGATGATAACTTTAGTAAGAAAAGTCCCTCTTTCTATATCGCCATCGATAGCTGCTTGCGGTAATCTTTGACCTGAATCATCAAAAATGGGCACAGTATACTTTATAGCTATATAAACCATAAATTCTGCTTTTCTAAAGGATTTGGATACAAAAGTTTGACGATACGAATCTGGTGGACACTTTTCATCGAAAATGGATTTACTATCTATATCAAAAATCTCTTCCGGTCCTGAAACTTTATCTTGTTTTCTTATTACCAAAGAATGGTTGTTTCTATATATGCTCATGTTATTTTCAGTTAATATTTCCTTTTTTCTTATTTCTTCTTTATGTTCATCTAGAGATTTAAAAATGTTGATCAATACAGTATCATAAATATATTTTTCTAATATATTCTCTTCACAATTTTCTTTAATGGATGGTTCATTATTTGTTTTTTCAACATCCCTATTAGGATCTGACGAAGCCATATTTACGAAAATAATTTATACTGGTTCAACCTAATTAAAGATTTTTATAACCCGATCAAGTGAAACCTCAGATTTATTTATTCATCTTGAGTCTAAAACTAAATTCTAAACACGTCAAAATAATCGTAACATGACATAAATCATGCTATCAGAGGGGTGCGTTTAGAATGCCAGAACGTACAACGAGCCAGGGTGTGATGTTTTTAGAAAATAAATTGAGTTTTTACTGAGGGTTCTATATTTTTCTGCGCATGTCTGTAAATAAGCGGAAAATACATTAAACTGGCATATGTAAATTGTCTATGGATTGATGGTATTTGATTGTTTTAATTATTTAATACTTTCTCTGTCCATGACGTTTATTAATGTCATGATAGTTCTTTCCTTAGAGCATATAAGACTAAAGTCTATTCAAATTTAATTTACGCCTGATGTAAACAGAAGCAGGTGGACGCTAAAATTGAGCAGGTCCGTATTTTACTTTTCCGTCTTGCAAAAATACAAAATAAAAGAGTGTAATTGTGCAATTATTTTTTTATTACGATAAAAACATATTTTGTAAACCAAAACTATAAAATAAATGCCACACACGGTCTCCCAGACTTTAGTGACATTTCTGGACGAAGATAGGTGAGCGACATAAACTGCGTTAACCTGCAATACAAATTAATAAATGTATTTGACTTTAAAAGAGATGTTTGCATTATATTTAGTTCATTATATATGTCTACTGTGATACAGAGCATTAAAACAATCATATTATAAAATTATATTATATAAAATAATTGCAAATTCTTTAATAGCTAATATATATCTACTAAAAGCATTAAAAAAACTTTAAATATAAAAGGTATTTGGTATTTGAATTTGGTATTTGATTTAAAATTGTGCATTTTAAAAAGAAACCTTTTGTATTTTTGACAACTTTTGTACTTTATTGTTCTTGTTCTACTAGTATTTAGATTAGACACCTTGTACCCTGTATTATAGCAATCTTCCTTACTTGACTTAGCACTACTGTGAATCGGATAAATTAGTTAGACTTGAAAGGCTATCTTCATTAATCAAAATTACAAGTGGTTCTACCTGAACCTCTATAATATTATCCAACTCCCACATTTTTACTTCAACTTTTTGGCGAACATGGTCAATACACTCTTTCCATTTTTCTGGAGAAATTAATAATATTACTTCTTCAAAAAGAATTTTAATGTCTCCAGATTTAAATGTTGAGTTTTTATCTGCTACGTATTGTTTAACGTCAACCTAGATTAATTCAATGTTATGTATGTACACCAGGTTTTATCCAACTATGTGGAGGTATATCATTGTCATCAAAGCAACCCCTTTGATGTAAATATCAAGAATTCCTTCCTTGGCTCTGGTCGGTGTGGTTTTTATAGCTCCTGTTATATTGAGACATGCTGTTTTTCGAATTTTTTTCTAGTTTGTGGATAGCTGCAAATTTTTGTATTTTCGGTACCCAGATAACTGCACCGTATGTTAGCATAGGTCTTATGATTAGGGTTGCCACATTTCCGGAAGTAAAAAGCGTGGCAATCGTGACGATAGAGCATTTTTATATAATCAGGTCCAAATTTTATGACCATTTTTAAAAAAAAAGTCCTCGACTTATTTTTCGTAAAACGAGTAGGTAGAGCATTTTTATATAATCCGGTCCATTTTTTGTGAACACTTCTAAAAAAAAGGTCCTCAGCTTATTTTTACTAAAACGAGTAGAACATTTTTATATAATCAGGTCCTTTTTTTCTGAACATCCCTAAAAAAAAGTCCTCAACTTATTTTTTATATAATCAAGTCCATGTGACCATGTCTATAAAAAAAAACCTCAACTTAATTTTCGTATAAACGAGGGTCTTTTACCCGGTCTATTTTTGTCTCAATCCGAATCCTCTGCCGCTTTTAAAAAGCGTGGAATTTGCATAAAAAGCGTTCAGGCAAGTCAAAATGCGTGGCTGCCACGCCAAAAGCGTGACGTCTGGTAACCCTACTTATGATGTAAATCGGTGCTACGACTCTAGGGGAGAGACTCCATGTGCGCCCCATGGTTCGACGGCATTGTTTATAAAAAAAGTATGCTTTTTTACTGTGTTTTCTAGGTGTAATTTCCATGATAACTTGCTGTCAAAGGTGAGACCTAGCTAATTCACTTCTATTGCAAAGTTTAGTTTTATGTTTAAGAGCTCTGGAGGTTTTATGTTCATCCTTTGCCTTGTGAAAAGGATAATTTCTGTCTTGAGATAGATAGTCAATGAGTGGTCCTTGCACTACTGTTCTGCCTTGCACTTGAAAGTACAGTATAACTTCAGTAGTCCGGGCAGATATCGTTCCGGGGCATGTCCGGACTATTGAGGCGTCTGGATTACTGGAGTAATTTCAATTTATGAAATAAAACAACTTAAAAATGATCAAAAATAAAGTTTATTAATAACACCAAAAAAAAAATTACACTTCTCATAAAATAAAACAAAAAAAAAACAATACTTCTCAAAAAATACCTAAAACAAAAGTGTACACAATTCCTAAGTAAAATATCCAATTTGCATATCTTCTAATTTTTTGAAAAAACCTATTAATTGTAGTTTGGACCTTTTTCGATGCATGTACATTAGTTGAGCCTTCTTAAAAGCAATACATCTTCAAGAAGAAGATTATTCTCCTCAGTTTACCTGAGAGCTAGTGAAAACGCTTTGATAGCATCTGCATGTTTCACCTTCTGATTCAGAAGATTCATTTGTATTTTCAATATTGCTCCCTACTGCATCCTGGATAAGCTGTTCTTCAGTTAAATCAACAACAAACTCGTCTTCTCCCACAGCCCATTTTGTGATGTTTTCGCTGTTCAAGTTATTTTCTTGATCAATGACCCTTAAAGACTCTGTGATTTGTTTCAAGTCTTCCTAACTTATTGGACGAAGTTTCTTTTGAAGCTCTGCCAGTGGAATATTCTCGTCATCTCGTCCAACTTTTTCTAATATTTTTTGAAGTTATGCTCTTCCAAGATTGATCAAAATTTTTCATTACATCTTTTAAATTATACTGTTTCAAAAGGATGACTAAGTCTTTATCTTCATGTGAAATGATATGATTGAGAAGGCGTTTCCTATATGACACCGGATTTAATTCTGATCCATCGGCTGAAGAACTGGAGGCAAAAACATAATCCTGAAATTTGGATTAGTATTGACCTCTTCACCAGATGGGTGTGATGGTGCATTGTCTACTAATAGCAGTGCTTCACAGGGTTTGTTAATTCCTGTTAAAAATTACTTGACCTCCGGTATGAAAGATGTTTTGAACCATTCCATAAATAACGGTCTCGTCATCCATCCTTTGGTAGAAGCTTTGTATACAACTGGTAATGAAGTTTCATTTTTTAATGCTCGTGGACGCGCCGCTTTTCCCAAGACCAACAGTGGTAACTTATGCGATCCCGCTACGTTGCAGCACGGCATAAATGTTAAACGGTCTTTCAAAATTTTTCGACCTGGTGCCGATTTTTCATCTTGATGGACCCAAGTGGTATCAGGTAGAGTTCTCCAAAAAATTGCTGACTCATCAGCATTGTATACTTGCTCGTAACTTAATTGCATCTCTTCAACTAGTGCTCTAAATTTTTCCTGAAATGGTATTACGGCGGCAACATAACTGGAAAGTTTTTCGCCACAGACCTTCAAAAAACGGATTCTGTGCCTTAGCTTGAATTTGTCTAACCATCCAGAACTTGCTAAAAAATCATTTTTTTCCTGTTATTTGTTCATAAAATTGTTTAGCTTTGATACGTAATATTTCTGATGAAACAGGTATGTGCGCGTTTCGTTGTTGTAGAAACCAGTTGTACAATGCGACTTCAAGTTCAGGATGTTCTGCTTTCCGCCTACAAAAATAGAAGGAAGAATTGAATTAATAAAATATTACATACGAACTTATTGGTATTCCTACCTGACCCTTGAACTGATTTTGAAATAAAGGTCCTTATTTTATCCTTGTTTTTTATATCCAACACTGTAGATTTTGGAATACCAAACTGCTCTGAAATTCGACGTGTACTTTTTCCTGCATCAAGGCAATCTAATATTTTGGATTTTTCTGCCAGTGTGTCTTATGTAGTCGTTTTATTGGAGCCATTGCGTCCGGCACGCTTAAAAACCAAATGCGGAAAGAAAGATGAAGACACGAGGCCGCCGCTGCGCCATTTCTAACACTTGTTTAGACCGGAAAATTCTAGTATTTGCATATGAATATTTTTGTGCCCGGATTTCAGAGGCAAAATTGTCAAAATGCCCGATTCACAGCAGTGCCCGGATTACTGGAGTATCCGGTCTAGCGACTGTCCGAACTATCGAAGTTATACTGTAGTTGTAATGTAGTAAACATATCTCCAGTGATTAAGTAAAGGCACAGTTTCACCAGTATACCGGTATAGTAAAACCAAGAAACGTTAACTAGCTTCAGCAACCATATCATGAGTAGCATTGGAGTCTTTGAATAATTTGATATTATCAGCGAGATTTTATTTTATTTTATGATTGTTTTCATGTTGTTTTTATTATATTTATTTTATTTTGGTGAATAAAACTGTTATTTTATTTTAATTGTTTATTTTTTGATCTAAATTTTAGTAGTTTAATAAATTAGCTATTTATTTTTTACATTTTTTAAATCTCACCTAAAATCTATTTCAAATACGTCTCTGCTAATATTATTATAAAAGTGTTATAATTAAGACAATTTTGGTAAATTCTATATTGCATGTTTATAATATGGCCCTTCCATTAATACTACTGAAATAATAAGTATGGTATTAATATGAATATAGAACATAACAGAGGTTAAAACATGTTCATCAGTTTTCATAACATGACTTCCTGCTCTTCCCAACAATAACTGAAAGAGATGCAGAATGAAAAAACTTTCTATAGGTAGATATATGCATAAAAATATGTACGTTAAAAAAATATTTCGGGTTGTCCATAAACCAATTAAGATGATAACGAACAATATGAATATAAGAATAAGAAGTACGTTAATTACCACATACGAGCGAGGGGATAAATGACAAACATTTAGAAATGATAGGAGGCCAAGTACAAGTAGTAACGTTATAGTTCCAAATATAGTAACTAATAATAATATGGCAGAATCGAATTCAGCGTGGAAATATCCTAAAGGATATGCCGAGCAAAACGTAAAAGTGCCCAATAAAATATAATTATATGGTTTTTTCTTTCTAGATAGCTCCCAAAAGTGAATAATTAAATACAAAATAATGTCCATCGAAAACATGACAATAAATAAAATAGTACCTTTCATAAAATTCCCGAATGGTTTAATATAAATGCAGGGTAAAATAAAAATTACTGTATAAAGGAGTTGGATTGAAAGAATTATGATAACTTTTAAGATGAATTTTTTTCTGGTAATATCGCCATCTACAGCAGCTGGCGGTAATCTTTGACCTGTATCGTCGTAAAGTGGAACTACATAATTTGGGGCGGCATAAAGCACAATTTTTGATTCTTGGAATGATTTATCTTCAAACATTTCACAATACGGGATTGGAGGACACTTGTCATCTAAATTCAAAACGGATTTACCAGCTGTACCAAAAATTATTCCAGGTTCTGATGCTTTATCCTGTTTCCTTACTAGCAATGAAGAGGTATTTACATAAATACCCGTGGAATTGTCGAGAGGTATTAACATTGTTTTGCTCTCAACATTAGGGTAAACATTTTTCCGAATTTCTTCAGGAATTATTGTATCTTCTTCTTGTCCTTCTTTAACTACGTCAAGTTCTTTCAAAATTATGTTTAATACAGTTTCATAAACATATTTTTCTGGATTATCATCTTCACTGGTTTCTGTTATATTCTCACTTGATTTTTCAATATCCCTGTTAGGATCCGAAGAAGACATAATAACAAAAATATGTAATAAAATAACTTCAATTATTTAACCCATCTAATGTTATTTATGTACATTCAATGATTTTTATAACCTGACCAAGTAAACCAAACATGTCAAAATGACAAACCCATTTATAAATTAGATACGATACACAGACATATTTAAAACCACGATACACAGACTAACGGTATGTTCCTGCACATGCAGCTGACTGACGGTGACGTCACATGGGACATAGAATTATTTGCATTAAATGGGAGATAGTGTTTGAAATTCGATATTTTAGATTTTATTTAGTCACTTAAGCTTTAATGGTTATTTTGTAATATATTCGTTTACAAATATGAAGGTATAAGGTAAATAATACCAGTAAAAATATTAATTTTTCTCATAAATTATAGGTATTTTTTGACAAAATCCATAATCTGGCCATAAGTAAAGAATATAGACTAAAAATACAAGTTTGACTCAAATTTATACTTTTGGGCGTGGTAATTCTCTTGAAATCCGTTTTATTATTTTGTTAAATAAAAATAAGTGTGCGGAAACAAATTATTTATTTTTTTAAAAAGTAAGTATACAAAAAAGTTACTTTTTATTTGGTATATTTGAACATTTTTTTTGTCAAGTTTACCTTGAAAATACTCTAAAACCAATTTTTCTGTTCATGTATCTTATTTTTATATATATTCGTGTCCTGCTCATGCAAAAGGGACCTTTTATATTTGTGTATAAATAACGCAATAAAATCTATATGAAATTTTATTCTCTTTTGACAGATCCTTTTTATAATTCATAAAAAGATAACTATCATAACAAAACATACATAGGTTGTGGGTTCGGTTCCATGTTCTATGTCAAGTGTGACAACTCGCACTCTGACCAAAGTATATTAGAGAGAGAGAGAGATATGCTTTATTGTCGTAAAAAAATTTTATAGACAAAGCGTGTAATTTAAATACTAAACATATTATAAAAATAACTAAACAGCAGAAAAAACAAACAGAAACAAACAGAGTAACCGTTGAGTAGCGACATAAAGCGTCGGTGTCTTTGATCTTGGATGGTGCAAGTTTTCTTTCTCTCTCGTTTGACGTTATTGACGGAAGGACACACTAAAACACTGCTCGAATTATGAACTGGTCTTGAATGTGATATTTACACTGCTCGACGTAATTTGAAGTAAAACTCTTTTGTAGTTTACATTTATAATAAAGGTTTGGTCATTAGGCAGTTTTATATTTATGAGTATTTAACTTATGTAGTAAATATAAAAATATATATCACTATTGATAAATTTCAATTTTTTTACCTACTTCCGGATGAGCTAGAGACTTGAAAGTTGGTAGGTGCACAGGGTTTTGATTTTTGATAACAATAGAAATTATTACTTATGGACCTTCTTATATATTAATCGAGTTGTCTTAAACTTTAAATTTCGCGTTGTTTAAACATGTCGCTGAATACAATTTTTGACTAATAATGTGCCCCGTTACTCAAAACTTTTAATTCACGTTTAAAGTGTTTGACAGAGGTATCTGATTTGACAAGTTATTCATACAACAATATGGAAGTCAGTGTCAAATCTGATGACATTCCGTGTATCATTCTAATTTTTGATAAATCTTACTGTAAACTACGAAAGCCACATACTTTGATTACTATACGAGGCAAGAGAGAGGTCCGACACGCCCAACATAGGGCGCGTCCATTTTGGTGCAAAGTTAATACACTAAAAAATAGAAAAAGTGAAAATAAACTCCCTATAATACTCTCAGAATCTACGTGGATAGAAGATTTTCATCAAAATATTACTCCTCCTTCCGCCAATTTAGAAATACCTTACCAATTATCAATGTCACCTTTTAATAATTATCCTGAAGATGTTCGTTATCTTCTTAAACCTTTTTCAGATGTTGAACTCCATTTCGCTTTAAAAAAGAACACTAATACTTCTCCAGGAGTCGATGATATCCACTACCCAATGTTGACTAACTTGTCAACTGCTGGTAAAGCTGCTTTGTTAGCCATATATAATAATATATGGCGTGGTAGGGCAGAGATACCCAGTGATTGGCATGTTTATATTATCCTACCTATTTTGAAACCAGGAAAATCTTCAAAAAACTGGGATTCTTATCGTCCAATAGGTCTTGCTTCATGCATACTTAAAACATATGAGAGACTTATTAAGACTCGTATGGAATTCTGGCTAGAAAAAAACAATAAATTATCAAAAACTCAATTTGGTTTTAGAAAAGGAAAATCTACTCAAGAGAGTCTTGGACATTTATTAGCAGACGTTTACAATGCCCTCACATTTCGTAAATCAGTTAGTGCTTTATTTTTAGATATAAAGGGAGCATATGATAGCGTAAATCTCTATATTCTCTCTAAAAAGATGTCCGAAATGGGCATTCCAGCTACTATTATACATAATATAATTAGTTTATACGTTAATAGAGAAGTATACATAAGAATAAATGGGGATAAAACTAACTCTCGTTATACATCATTAGGACTTCCGCAAGGCAGTATTTTAAGTCCTCTTTTGTATATATTATATACTGCAGATTTAGAAGAACAATTTCCAGAGCACATAAGAATTTTACAGTAAGCCGACGATATTGCAATTTACGTGGAAAATAAATCGATAGATAAATGTAATGAACTCCTCAAAGAAGCATTTATTGTCACAACAAATTGGGCTAGAAATAATAATTTTGCTATTTCAGAAAATAAATCGTCAGTCGTTACATTCACTAGAAAACGTTTTAATCCTCCTAATTATGTACAATTTGAAAACAGTATCTTCCCTTATAAAACTTCAGTTAAATTTCTTGGTTTATATTTAGATTACAAATTGAACTGGAAAGTACACATAAATTACATTTTACGAAGGACTGAAAATGCTATGAATATTCTCAAGACTGTAAACGTTAGTGATTGGGGAGCAGATCCAAATATCTCTTTATTATTATTTAAAAATCTAATTAGATCTATCTTGGATTATGGATCAATATTCTATGGTTCTGCATCAAATTCCACAATTCAAAAAATTGAACGAATAAAAAATAAAGCTTTAAGACTATGCATTGGTTATCTGCCTAGCACACCTATCAAGGTTATGGAAGCGGAACTTTGTGAACCCTCATTAATTTTACGCAGACAATTTTTAGGAATTAAATTTATAGTCCTTTTAGTTGTAAGTGGTAAAACATTGCTAAATAAAATTGTACAATTAACTACCAGCTGCTTAACACATCAATATTGGAAAAAGAAAAAATTGCCATTATTTGTAGAAAGTTTTCTTGATTATTCAAATATATTTACCGGAATTAATCCAAAAGAACACATGTCCTATTTAAAGTTAAATTACGAAGACTCTTTAGTACCGTTCAGTTGTCATTTCAGTAAAATTCAAGCAACTGACGCCCTGACAAAAATTGATCATTTATTATATGTTGAAAATTACTGGGAAAATTACCAAAAGCTATACACAGATGGTTCAAAAAAAGACGGAAAAGTTGCCTATGCTATATATTATCCACAAAAAGCTATGAAAATTCAAAATAGATTACCCGATTTAATGACAATTTATACAGCAGAACTTATAGCAGTTAAAGAGGCTTTCAAAATATGTATAGAACAACAAGAAATAGATTATATAATTTTTACGGACTGCAAAAGCATTGTTCAAAAATTAAGAGATATTACAATTAACAACGAAATAAATTATATTATCTATGAAATAATTGCTCTAAATAGTGAGGCAAGAAAAAAGGGAAAAAATATAACGTTATGTTGGATAAAGTCACATATTGGAATTAAAAATAACGAAATTGTAGATGATTTGGCAAAAAAAGGAACTGATGATAATATCATCATAAATTCATATCAAGTCCCAAGAGGCGATTTAAATTGCTATATTAAATTATTTGAATTAAGTAAGTGGCAAGACAATTATAATTGTTCAGACAAAGGTCAATTTTTTAAAAACATTCAAAGCAAGATACCCTCCATACCATGGTTTAGCAAATTCAGCAACAGAAGTTTTATTAGAACGACTTGTAGAATTAGAAGTAATCATTGCCTGACTCCAAATTATAAAAGAAGAATGGGATTGGTAGACAATGATGAATGCATCTGCGGCGAGGTAGCCGATTTACAGCATTTACTTTTAGAATGTATTTTAAATGATATTCACATATCAAATCTATATACCAAACTTATTCAACATAATGTCCAACTACCTATTAATTTGTCACACCTTCTCGCCCTCAGGAATTTCGATGTATACAAAATTATTTATAATCATGTAAACTCCTTAAATTTGAAGCTCTGACGAAAAGAATTAAAATATGTACAAAAATAAAAAATAATATAAAAAAACTAAATATTAAAAAAAAACAAAAAAAAAATGCAAAAAAAAAAGAAAAACAAAAAAAAAACAAACAAAAACAAGTAAAAAACAAAAACAGACTAAAAAATTAAAAACAAGCAAAAACATGAGCTAGAAAAAACCTATTATAGGATTTACTTCTTAATAATGTATTTAGAGAAATTTGTATTTTTCAAATAAAATGTGAACTGTGAAATATTGTAAGGATAGAACTTAAAATTGAATTAACACAAAATAAACTTTATTAAAATTAATTAAAGATTGACTGGCCAGTTGGTTTTGAAACCAGTGCCAAACAGAAATACATACACACACACATTTTGAACCCTGTGACACAGTTTACAGCTAAATAATCAGATCGCTCACTCTGCGTCGGCACTTTGGATCTAAATGTTTCAGTTTATACACTGTGCAACTCGGATAATACAATATATGACAACCGCCTATAATAAAACAGCAGGCTTCTGCGTATCCTGAATTTGTATCCCTGGAGTGGATGTTATTTTGGAACTTTCAACTGGTCCGAATGAGCTAACTGATTCTTTAGCAATAAACTGTGACTTCAAAAATAATATTCACTGACACTGACAGCAGCTAGCAAAATATCAGGTGCGTTTTAATCATCCGCTTCTGCTTCCGGAATTGTCGGTTTAGTCGTTTTAACCTGTCAAATTAAAACAAGAAAACTGACAATTCCGAAGCAGAAGCGGATGATTAAAACGCACCTATTAAAAATATTGCGCCAA